GAAAAAACCTTTATGCAACAAAAAAAGTTTGATTTGGTTGCCTTGTGTAATTTTCTTTTGATAATTATCATCCATGTACAAATGGCACCCAGACTTGCTTAATAAAAAGTACAAATAAATCATGCAAGTGGAAGTTGGATACCAACATTTTATAATAGACACATGTATTCGATATAATTATTTTTATTATTACTACACATCATTCTCCGCCTCTTTATGGGCCGCGGAACCCTACCGCAGACCAGTGGCGGATTAACCTTTTGGCAAAGTAGGCACGTGTCTAGGAACGCGAGCTTACAAATAGAAGCGCGCGCAGTATTTTTTAACATAAAAAGAACTGTGTCAGTGAGTATGCACATACTTACAATATAAGCAATTCCTTAATTCTACATATAGAGATGTTTAAGGTCTAAGCCACCTGTGGCCACAAGGAGATCTAGGATTTATATTAAGTAATTGCTACTACTTCTTTGCTTTCATTTTCTAATACCTACGAAGATTGAGGCTAGTGCGTTTACACAAAATATCAGTTGCTACAACTGCAGCTGTAGTTGAGATTACTCTATAAGTTGTAATAATAGACCAGGGTTGTCCAGTCAATGGCACTATACTATACGAATGCCTGGCGTGGCGTGGTTGGAGCAGAAACGTGGCCTCGTGACGGCTATCGGAGTGAGGATTCACTAGCTCGGTATTATGATTGCGGTCATGGTACGGAGCGATGGTACGTAGAACCCCGTCAACTCCTTCTGCGAACAAGTTATGTTCGAGAAGGAGAGGGTGGGCGGGCCCTGAAGAGGCTTAAAACTCTCCCGGTCCGCCAGGCATAAGTGCAGGCCTGGGGGATATCTGTCACAAAAAGAAAGGCCCGGACATCCTCATAAAAGCAATTATGGCATGCGTAGTGTGTGGGTTTTAGTCGGTTTGATTTCGATACACCGCCAAAATAAAAGTTCTAGTAAGGACACACTACAGCATAACAACTAAAATTTGGAGTCTTTATAAGTAGCCGTCATTTAAATAAACTTCATTGTGAGAATCACTAGTATTAATATAGTAGTACTAGTAATATTAATTAATGGAAAACCGACTAAATGCCAACTTTAAAAAAATGAGTTAAAAAATCAATTTTTCTTAAAAAAAAACGAGATCTTTCTAATGATAAAATCCAAAACTTTGTGTAGTAGTAAAATATAATGCATAGTTAAATAAATAGTAAATGGAAATAGCCATTAAAGTAGAACTTTTCATAAAAACTTGAGACTGAAAAGCAAAATATTCTCATTTTCTATTATATATCTTCGATTAAAAGATATTATTCTAATATATCTCTTGTTCATGCTAAACGCTGATTTGGTTTCTATTTCTTAATCTACACGCAAAATACACTAACAAGGGTTATTTGTTTTCAATTTTAGTGAAAATTTCTAAGCAAAAGTCAAATATATAAATAATTCATACTTTGCCGAAATAGTACTACTTTCTAGACTATGATTTAGATTATTCTTTATGACAAAAGAATTAATATTAGAAATTCATATTAATAGCCCAGAGCCCGTGACCGCCAGATCTTAGTTATTGTATAAAAGCTGAGAGTTTCTCTGTGTATGTGCCCAACACAGGTAAGAACGATCAGGGACTATGGAGTTTGGATTGTGGTTACTGGGACAGGTAACAGGTAGTTATTTTACATGTTACATTTTATAATACTTTTTAAGTATCTTATAATGATAAAATAATATTTTATACTAAAGTAAAAAAGTATTATAGTTAAAACTATACTAAATGTTAAAACTATACCACATGTCAGATCGCCTCAGGGAGCGTTTCCCTGAGTGCTGGAAGAGCGGGAAGCTGGTCCTGTTAAGGAAGCCGGGACGGCCTGCAGATTGTATACAATCCATATTTTTTTGTAATATTTAAAAGATAAAAATGGTTACTGTGGGTTATCTGTAGGAAATAGACATCGCGTACTTTTTTGTAGATCTTTAAGATATACAACCCGTAATACGTTATTTTGGTCTATCTCGTAAGGTTTAGCCAGCGTTTGCAATGTAAGCGTGTGTTTTTTTTCGATAAATCTCTAAAATTCTCGAATTTCCTCTACCATAATATTTATGTATTACACATATAAACTTTCCTCTTAAATCACTCTTTCAATTTGTGAAAACCGCATGAAAATCCGTTGCTTAGTTTGAAAGATCTAAGCGTACAATACAAAAATGCCGTCCGTTTTACTTGCGCATGAAAGAGACAACGTTATGTCTCCAATGCCGTCGCGCCGGTATCCCCGCCGGACGTCAACGAAGGTGCGAAAGTATGAGTTTGGTTTTAAACCGAATCAAATTGATTATATATATCGTTTGAAAACAATGAAAAAAATGTTTATTTAAAAACAGAGTTTTTAACTTATCAATAGAGTTTTTATAACTTAGGCAAGTAATACCTAAGTTAATGTTTTCATAACTTGGTCGGACGGACCAACTAGAGCTAAACTCGCTAAGTAGGTATATCAATTTATGACACTTATAAAAATCTTTACACAGTTTATAGGCACTCCGTCATATGCCTACCTCGGTAAAGTCAAGAAATGTAGTTACGAGTATAATTTAGAAAAACATAGCCATCAACACCAACCGTTTTGAATCGAAAAAAATTGTTTATTTCGATTTGTAACGGTTTTTTTCGTTTTAAACGGATTGGTTTAATTGGTCTTAAACCGGCTTTGCATCTATAGACCAGACCTTTTGAACCTTTAATAGTGCTTACTTTTTGCTACTACAGAAGCCAATCACGTTTAATTTTAGGACATAACGTTCCCCAGATACTCTAAAAGTTCTGTTAGGCGCATTGGAGCTATATTCATAAGCATGGATATTAACTTATAATTTTGTTCGATTTCCAGGTCGATCAAAACAATATATACATTACATAATCAAGTGAAGGTAGGAATTGGCATGTAGTATCTATGAAAGATGATATTAAAACAACGAAGCAGTTTTCTTCATTCTTTAATGCATTTTCTCTAATTTTCTTGACAGCGATGAGCACTTTTGGTGACAATAGTTACCAGAAATTATTAAAATATGTAACAAATAACAATTCAGATTATTAAAAAGAAATAATTTTTATATAGGTTCATTTACTTACATCCAGTAGATCAACTTCACAATAAAAATAGATCTCTTCTATAAAATTTATACAAGTTACAAAAGCGGTAATGTTAGGTCGTTAAAATAACAACAAATAAATGCTCTGGGAATGAAACGCAATTATAATTTCCTCTTTGTAGATAAATTGACAGATAGTCACTCTGCTAAGACCGATTTATTGTATAAATATCTTAAGAGTACAAAGTATCTATTGGTGTTCGTCGCCAAAACTGAGAACTAGGCTGCGTTCATCTACAAGTAAGCTACTGCGTATTGGTTCGTCATTCATTAACTATATTTTGGCTAAAAAGTCAACATTTGCAAAACCATCTTTACAAATTGTCATGACACTATAAGAATTAGTCAACGATGATTCATGCCACGTTGCGGCACCAGTCCGGCAGTCAGCTCGGCGATCTATCTAATCAATACCTGAGCCTCGCTAGGATATGTCGCTCATTATAAATATATATATATATTTATACCTAATTTAGGCTAAAGTTAGATCAAAAGCAGTAAGCCAATTTCTTGCAAGAAGTAACTAAAGTGACTAGTTAAGGGTCAAACGATAAGTATGTTCCAAGTTAAAGAATATGTGAAGTCATGCAGTAATAACTGGACTATCTACTCGTTCTACTGATCGCCGAGCTGGCGGCCGCGCGGTGATGCGCAGCCATCCGCTGCTCTATCACATTATGTAATTCGTCCGAATTTGTTAACGCTCTGGCCTACTTACTCCTACGAAATGATAACTATCGACAATAAATTATTATTTCACCTACAATTAAAAACAAGGTCTGAAGTGTAGTAGTGCATCAAGAACCGAGACCGCGCAATGCGAGCGCACGGAATAATTGACTGGACCGCTCGATCGAGCGTCGAGCGCCCGCTACCACTCCGCTCGAACGAACCGCGCTAAGGCTAACCTCGACATTACAATATTTACATATACAGAAACGACTCTCAATATGTTCGAAGCGCTACGGATCACCTCTACTTAGAAAAACTGAGAGACTTGTTTGCGCTAATTATGCCGATTATCGGTAGATATTCTACTTACAATTAAATGAAGAAAGCAACTGTGTGCTATGGTACGCGCGTGAGGCTCCTTTAGTTGTGCGTCGCTTGTGCAGCCGTAAGGCGCGGACATTGTGCGTGACGTCATGCCACTTGCCACGCTACTTACACTGTGTGGCGTGGCAAGTGGCGTTCATTATTTCACTGACGATGTTCCCGCGTGGTGTGGGGCCAGAGCAGGCGCCCGCGCCTTACTTCATATTCCACGTACATTTTTACTCCTACGATCCAATATTTATGCATCGTTATAAACAGTTTCGAATATAGTAATCTCTGAATCGTGATAACCAGGAACGTTTATACACTTCATACATAACTCCGCGATTCAAAATTCCGCATCAACAATAGAAGTCTATTTTATACGCCAACAAAGCATAAAATAGTGATATCTTTACATTTCAGTCTAGTCTATATAATTACTTTCTCTTTTAATGGCAAGGTATCTCTATAAAGATTCGATAGTATCATTCTCCTTATTGAAGATTTTCAATTAACAGATATATCTATACAATCAGAATACGTTTCGTATTTGATTCCTCACAGCGTCAATGATATAAAATTTAACCTAAATTATAACACAGGAGAATTAAGTATAAGATCACAAAATGAGATTCAACGGGCGGCGGCGTGTCGCCCGGCGAAGTCGCAGCTATAATACTCGTATCTACGCTACAACTATCGAGCCGCGCGGTCGCTGCGGCCTGGCGGCTCGCACTAAGCCTAGTATTGCTCTCGTCTCGACGGCCGTGCGCACTAGCACAGCGTACGGCGTCAGGGTGCGATGCCGGCGTCCGACTTGTGGAAGGCGGCGGGCGCGGCCGACAGGGCCTGCGCCGAGCTAAAGTCGTGCTCAGACTTGGGTCGCGGCAGCGCTGCCGCCGCCACACCCAGCCCCGGCAGCGCAACGCCCGCCATGCGGCACGACGCGGCCTGCAACGGCTGCAGCGCCAGTCCCAGTGAACGCTCCGACAGCCGTGCCACACTGTCGTCCGACAGACTCACGTGCTCCGCCTCGGCTGCCAGTGCGTTCACCACGGCATTGATCGTGTTCCCCTCCGACGTTGTGTCGTCTTCTCGATGCGCCACTAGGTTTGGATTCTTCCCTATCTTGTTCAGTCGTTCCGCTGCTACGCTTTCCATTGTGCGCCGCATCAGCGGGTACTGATCGAGCACTGCATTGAAATGGTCCACTGATAAAGAGAATAAATTGCAGTACGTTTCGGCGCGGACGGAAGCCACTCTTCGAGCGTTCGTCAGAAGACAAATTTCACCGAAGTAGGAACCGTCTGATAAACTAGTGGCCACCTCTCCATTCGCCATAACGATGTCTACAATGCCTTCTTGAATAAAATACATTTTGCTACCGATAGTTCCTTCTTTGATAATGATGTCACCTGTAACAGGAAAGAACTTGATAAGAATACAAAAAAAGTACAGTCGAAGTTAAATACAGTTTAAAACAACTTTATGTTAATTTATTGATATATTTTAATGTTGAGCCTAACTTGACTTAGTTTTAAGAATTCAGTATTTAAATATATAGTACTAGCTGACCCGCGCAACTTCGTCTGCGTCTCTCAATAGTAATAAATTTTCTCCGTTTTTCAAACATTCTTCATTGGTGCTCCGCTCCTATTGGTCTTAGCGTGATGATATATAGCCTATAGCCTTCCTCGATAAATGGGCTATCTAACACTGAAAGAATTTTTCAAATCGGACCAGTAGTTCCTGAGATTAGCGCGTTCAAACAAACAAACAAACAAACAAACAAACAAACTCTTCAGCTTTATAATATTAGTATAGATAAGTATGTTTATTAGCAGCCTGGTTAACATAGTACAGGCTCTGCCTAGTTTGGGATCAGACGGCCGTGTGTGAGATGTGTGAGATATATTATATTATCATCGACAGCCTTTGATAGTCCACTGCTGGACATAGGCCTATCCTTAGAAAGGAGGTTTTGGCCTACTATACCACGCTGACCAGACGGGTTGGTATAGGGTTTGTGTCAAGTTTTCCTTCTCTCTGCAGTGCTGTTGTTCTGCTTGGTTTTCTCCCTTACGACACTCTCAGGAAGAATAGGAGTGGTGACACTCTGTATTCTTAATCCGTCACCACACCGTTTATTATTTGTTAGTAAAAGAATATAAAGTAATTATTCGATAATAGTTAAGAAATCCTCAAATGTACAACATGACTGATTGTTAAAGTGAGTTTGTGTGTTTGTTTGTAGCGCTTTTACGCCTCAAACACTAAGCCGATTTTAAGAATTCTTTTACCAATCTCGAATGAAGGTAATTTAAACAAACTTACCAGGTTGGAAGACTTCGTAGCGCAGTTTGGTTACAACGTCTGATACGAAGTTGGAATCTGCGTTGGCGAAGAACGGTACGGAGGCAACGAGTGAGCGGCAGTTGTAATTGATGACATCTTCGCGTAACTTCTCGCTTAGTTCACCCAGGATCAGTTCTTCATCGAAGAACTTGCCCTGATATCGATGCTCGAAGTATTCCGTGATACGTTGCCGCATCTCCCGAGGTAGTTTTCGGTAGGCCATATACTCTTCTACTTGTTTCACCTAAAATACGTACACGAGAACATACAATATATGCTTATGACATGTTGCGAGTCAAACACGCTTCTATAGCAAATTTCAAATCATGCATTTCTTCAAAAAAACCAATGACTGTTAGACACAATATTTTACTTTATGGACATTGAAATACGCAATCTACACACCTGCAAACAACCGACTCATAAACGATACAAGTAAAAATAAGTACATATATAGCCCTATCGAACAAAGTACAATGGTTAGTTTGCCCATGGAAGTAAACTGTTATGAACACCCGTTAATATTTGTGAAATGTATGAAACGAATAACAATTGTTATTTTGATGGAGACATGAGTTTTGGTGCATATGATGGAGTCTGAAATATAACAACCAGTGAAACACTAAACAAACATTCGCTTTGTACTCACGTCTAATCTCTGAAACAGGCAATGAAGGCTTTAGTGATCGATTTATTAGGTGGGTACATTACATAAGGAGTTTTAGTCAAACACATGCAGGTCTAGAAACTGTTTTAATGTAATGGCATAGTTTAAGACTTATGTGATAGGTAGGTATTTATTACAAGTAATTTTTTTACCAAAAGGTTCGTCCAGTTGTATGTCCATTTAAGTTACGACAGCACAGGTGTTCATAACGTTTTATCTTCGATATTCAAGAGAAGAGAGTTTAGGCAAAGACCGTTCGTTTATATAGGAAATTGTTAATAGAATATTCATAAAATTAAGCTGTGTCTACCTTTTCACGGTATTGTCGCCGCGAGGAATCTAAACTTTGGATGAGATTGGTAGCATGACCGAGGAACAGCGCGTAGCAGGTAGCACCGGAGATCATGGAAAGCATAGTGAGCCACATGTCAGTGAGCGACTGTGGCGGGAAGCGTCCGTATCCGATGCACAACATATGAGACATAGCTTTGAACAGAGCCCAGGAGTACTGTTCTAGCCAGTATGCTTCCTGTAAAATTCATAATGTTGTATTTAATATAAAGCAATATTATGTACTGTAAATGAGAACGTTGCATTTACGAACGAAGTATTGAAAACTAGTAGCATAGCATAGCAGTAATAACAGTAGTGAGATTGTAAAAATATTTGGATACTTGGGAATTATATAAGTACACCATCAGTATTACCATGTTTTCTCCTAATCTAGGCTTGTTCTGCTTGAAATACATAATCAACACTGCAGTGTTATGCCTATGAAAACTCCCTTTTAAAGTATGTGTTCCATACTTTAAAAGGGAGTTTAAAATTATATTCTACTCTGCAGATTATAAACTTGGAAGCTGGTTTAGGCTCTGGTAACCTCCCTCACTTGGTGAAATGCAATGAAGAAATTGCTTAACACCAGTTTTCTGTGAGTATCACTCCGTGGTATCACTTCGGTCCAGCCGGCCTATTTTTACGAGTACCTAAGCAAGGCTTTCCCATAGTAGGATATTTATAAATAAATCATATTTATGGATATACCAACCTGCAGTTCATTTATCGCAACCCATGAATTTGGTGGAAATCCCTGTAGCATAGGAACGAGGAATTGAAGACAACCTGACCAGTGGCCGATTAATAACATCATACAGATCAGGTTGAATATCCGCATGAAAACTGACGCCATATTGAGGAACTGTAAAGAGAAGATATACATTAACAATGCGGTATACCAGGTAATGTCGCCTCTAAAGGAAGCCGTGCGGACTGCGCGCGACAAGGACGCTCGAGGTCAAGCATCGCGATGATTTTCTACCGATGGAATCGTAAAGAAGTGAGAAATAAAATATGAACGCGTGAGACGATTTGTCGAGCGAGCATGCGTGGTGAGCGGCGCGGTGACAGATCGCGTGGCCGCGGCCGCCGCGCGGTCGCGCGACCGTCATCGCCCTGCGCGCCTCAGCCCGCGCGGCTGCCGGCGGGACGAGGGTTGGAAACAGAAACGCCAAAGAAAGAGAGAAAGCGAAGCGAACGCTGCGGTCTACGGGACGCCGGGCGGCGCCGCCGGCAACATGCTAAGCGGGCGAACGAGCACATGCGCGCCGGCTCGTGCCGACCCTGGTTACCTTGAAGATCAGATTGCTTTTTCTGTCACACTTCTTTTTGGCAACGTCGGAGCCGAGACGTCCCCTCCGTTCCGTGCGCTTTTTTTGAAGATTCTGCAAGATCTAGAAAACAAGCGAGAAACACGAGATAGTAGGAAGAGAGCCAGGCGCGCCCGAAGCGCAGACGGGGTCGGCGGGCATAGGTCGTCGCGAGGTGTGCGGGGCGGGGCTGGGGCGCGTGCAAGCACACATAGGATGCACTAACACCGAGACGAACGTGGGCTAAGCCCCTACTCTAGCGCTAGTAGCGCGGACGAGACATGCAGCACCTGCGAGGTGAGGTCGCGCGAGCCGCCGTCCGCATCTCCCGGCTCGTCGCGCGGCTGCGGAGCGGGGCTCATCTGCACACAACACCGTCACTGCGATGGCGTCGCCACCACCCGAACCCGTACTCCACTTCTCACTGACTCTCCGCTTTGTACACGTATCGTGGTCTCGCCTCACCACTGCCTAATCTTTGTGTGCTCGATTCTAACTTTCTTAAGCAAGAGTTCTGGTAATGAATTTAGTTTATTTGCTTCTTAATAGACCAAATATAATAGTTTGAATCCAAGAGAAAGTATTTGTATTAAAAATTCATTCTCATTTTGTTTCAAAACTACACGTTCATTGAAGCTGTTTTTCAATCAAGATGTATTTTGAGGTGTTTTGTCACCGTATTCACATCCCATTAGGAATAATGTATTGCGTTTTATGCCTAATATTAACTTTACGTCTTTTGTACTTCTAAGTGATTAGCATCAGCACTCCAATAACACTAGAGGCTTAAAATAAGCGGCAACAGAATATGAACAACTTGGCAAATAATATTTATTTTGGCAAGTGTGGAACGGTTCGGGTTGGCGGACACGGCGTATTCGGGCGTCGTCAGTCGCGGCGCGGGCCCAGAGAAAAGAGACAGATTTAAACGTCACCAGTGAGAGCGTGCTCAGGCAGAAAGAAGCTTGCAGAGAAGCAGTAGAGAAGTGCAGAGCGGGACGTGGGGCTTACATACATTGGAGGGTGGGATCAATGGTATAATACAGGATTACAACAAAACTTCATAATTACGTCTTTAGGATCACTACACGCTAAAACAATTCACATTATTACATATTAATATCACAACATCTTTAATAAATATTTTGACGCCATATTTAGCCAATCGTTTAAAATTTAGAGCAGAAATCAATCTCAGGGTTTCTCATTATAAAATAAGTACTTTATTTATCTATTATTATAAAAGATAGATTAAATTACGGTTTTAGTGATGTAAGGTTAGTAAATGTGAGCGTAATGTAGTTAGAGCAGTGTTAGTGGTAAGTAAATAGATAACCCGCAGGGTATGGGTTAGGAGATGATGGCTTACATATACTTCCTCCCATTGTGATACATATCGGACGAGCCTGGAGAGCCGCAACAACCGCACCAGCGACAGAAGCTTTGCTAACCGAAGTATCCTTAGCGCACGACCCGCGTGAAGGATTTGAAAGCTTTCACTAAAGTCCTGTTAAAACCAAATACACATTTTAATGATCCTTAGTGACCTGTCGACACTCCAAGGTATTCTCCGGAGTCTCAAGTCAAGCGAATCTATTCTTTTATACAGTCGAAGTGTTGAAGACATGCATAATTGCAGTATTTGAAAGATTCTGTCAGCCAAAGAAAAGTGCTGAAGCGTAATAAACATGTTATAATTATGTTTTGTAAATTTACAATTTTAGTAAAAACCAAGTGTAGTACTGACTATTTATTAGTGAAAGCTGTATAAGTATGTATAGAAAAGGCTTGTAAATTTTACTTCTGTGACTATTCTTTTGTATTAAGCTTCAGTACTGATTGATGCATTTAATTAGTTATTGTAGGGTCACTTAATTTATCAGTGTATGCTGTTAAATATCACAATTTGGTCGTGTTGTTACAGGTTAAAATAAAAATAAACAATATATATTATATACATATATATGTATGTATGAACCCTAGAAAATTACATAACAGATGAGTTTGTAGAAGTTCAAATGTTCCCAGCAGGAGCAATAATTGTAAAGAAAAGATTTAAGACCATGTTTAAACACATTTTGAAATAAATGAATATTGGAAAGTAGAGAGAAGACAACGTGCATTTTATCAATATAAATTTAGAAGGGTAATACAACAGTGTATACTTAATAAATCAAATAGACATGTATAAAACAGAGACTCTCTGGACAGTGCATTGTAATGTAAGCGGTTCAGAATAGCCGGTGCATAAAGTTGGAAAGTGCTCAATCTCTCTAAGTTGTAATAAAGGATTGAGTATCCCATATGATCGTGTAAAATTGGATAAATGACATTGCTCAAAGAATAGATAACTTATGAAAATTTAGAAATCATATCATAGGATTACTGGTGATGAAACGTGCAAGTGAAAGATGGTAGAGTGACAAAATTTAAAAGACTGGTGAAATGAATTTGGTGTGCTTAATCAAACCTTTGCATGTTGTCATAGAGCCTGATAATACGAGATACTAAATTTAATACACGATGACACACAGGTACTCGTGGCGGTTGGGTATAAGTTCACAATGAGAAACAAAAACGAAATGAAAAAATAACAACATAAAGATATCATCTATTAAACAAATGAACACACCCAAGCTGAAACAGAATATCAATAACATAAAAGACAGATTAAAACTAGTAATAAGACAACACGGCCAAATTGCAACGTACGTTTACCTGATTGAAGATCAAAAATATATAATCTAGTGGTATACTAGAGATGAGGTCAAGGAAGAACCATGTCCTCAAATAGTGCTTCGCTATTAATTTGGGATCTAATATCACTTGTTCTGCATTATCCTGCTGCATTATTCCTGGAAAGATAAAAAAGGGCGTTAAACATATTTCTCATTGCTGGAGGCAAATACTTACTATAGCTATCTAGTATAAAAAACCGGACCAGTACGACTCTCGAGCACCGTGTATTCTTATGATATAAATATTATTTGTTTGTAAATAAGTTTTCAAGGGAATCAATTTTCGAAGATGTCGGCTTCAATTTTGATTTTTTGTGTATTTTGTTCGAGTGACAGAATTGATAATACTTTCCCTGATATCTATGTACATTACCTTTTCAGATTTCAGATTTTTAAATGTTAAAATATATGCGAAGCTTTAATGATCTTTTGGTTACATTACCTTGGAAGTTTGATTGTTTTAATCAACTGGATAACTCAATACATTCTTGTTTACTGTACAAATGTGGTGACAGATAGACAGACGCTGACAACGAAATATTTACTTTTTCCTGTTAAGGATTGGAACACTGTGACTAATAAAAGTCGTATTTTAAGTCTAGAAAATCGCTATAAGGATATACACCAATTTTATAAGGTTCATAATTATACAGTTCTAGTTAAGAACTAGAAGGAATATAGGAAGAAATACCGAAAATCGATAGCTCCGAGGTACAGTAGTTTAAAAAATATGATCATTGATTACAGTTTTGTTACAAGAATTGTTCAAGGAATTAAAATGCATGACAAATATAATTGAAATTGCCTATTGATATTTTTTTAAACAGAGTTAGACATATTTTTATCGAACTCGAAATTTAGTACAAATGAAAAATTTCTGTTTTGTATAAAAATCAAAATAAGTTCGTTTGTACCTTATGTGTAACGTAGTATGTACCGTAAAATTAGGAGATCCTACGGGATTGTGTTAGGTAATGATAATGAGCTTGGGTTTTTGATATATTGTTCTGAGTTTGTACGATTGAATATAAGATATTAAAAATGTATTAAATAGAACTTCACTGTCTATGACAACTTCCCGAGGAAAAATTAAATTGAAAATTAAGATTAATAAGTTTCAAACAACAATGAGTACATATTTACCTGTTCTAAAATTAACAACGATATCTATAAGAAATATGGTGTCGGAGAGGCAATTGAAGGCTATCCAGCGTGTGCTGAGGTCATCGTTGAAGAAGGATATGGCGACTGGCAGAATGATCAGGTTGGCAACAAGCAGTAGTAACATACACAGGTCCCAGTAGAATCTGTGGGCAAACGAAAAAAAAACATTTAATTTATGACAAACCAATATTTCAAATCTTGACACGCAATGTCTCGACACTTTCAAGACTTAACTACCGATCTTACGACCGACCTACCTAACAAAATCGTAATTTTCATCAAAAAACAATACTGTACTGGTCTGCACTGAAACATAATTTGCAAATGCTACTGTTGTATGAATGTGTCCGATGTATTTAAATGGCAGAAACAGATATATGTATATATAGGAATTGGCAGATAGAATATGTTAACAGAAAAAGCATCTCTGTTGCTTACTCTTGGAATCATCCGAGCACTTTTTAAGTTTTTAATGCGTAGTAATAGCATGTAACTTCCTATTGGGTAATTGGCTCGACCAGGTGTGTAATTAAGCTATACTCGTAAGTATATAGGTATTGTTGATGCTCGGAGGTGGATAGGATGAGTAGCGTGCGCATAACCGCAATTACCTAATTGAGAGGCGATTGAGGCAGAAATTGCTCGTGAAATGATCTCATCTCTTGTCTAATCTGTCCGTGTTTGGGTTGTTCTCCATATTCTTTAATATTACCAATTGTTTGTTTATTAAATGCGTAAATAAGTTTCAAGTAAGTGTTTTTTGTTCTCTTTAAATTTTTATTGCTTGAAAGAAGCATTAAATTTTTTTTATGTCACAATGAAGTATCTGCTTTTTTCCGAGTGACTTTTCTTTAAAAGGAACTTTAATAAAAGTCAAGTGGTATACGTAAAGAAGCTTCCTGAAATTATTAGAGAAAAGGCTGTAAGCTTACGAAAGCCTACTTCGTTGGGAGAAATATAAAGAGGTAAATGATGCCGATTTTCTACAATAAGCTAGAAAAATCGTCAGAATAACTCCAGGCAGGGTACGACAAAGAACAGTTCGAGTTCAGTTTTTAGGTGCGAACTTGGCGCCAAGTGCCATTTATTTTGTACCTCAAGATTTAAAAAGTTCGCAATTTTTAGTATAGCTCATATTTATTTAAGGTTGTCTAGTTTGTAGTGATTGCATTACGTTGCGGTTAGTAATAAAAGTCACAATCATGAAGTTTCTCACGTCACCACCCCCACGTAAAAACCTTTATTAGTGCTTTAAGAAAACCACAATAAGTTTATTTGGGCAGCGGAGGGCTTAGGTGCTTCCTTGCCATCTAATATATTAAATCTATCCGGCTATTCAACACGTAGTTTAGAGATCCTTCTTAAGACGAAGGCCTCGTTAACAATGTTGGATAATAAGGGACGACATTGGAGCATTAGGGGAATTACACAATTTGAATTATCTTGTAGACACTCATTCCAGAGTAACATAAAGGAACGTTACGGCAGAAACTAATTAATTTAATTCAAAACGATTTAAGTTTAGGATGTTTAGTTTTTACTAGTATTTTGAGTATCAATTAATTTAGAGCAAACAGACGTCATATGAAATATATTTAAATGCAAATCTAATTCAAATGTTAGTAATTGAAGGTTGAATATTAATTTCAGTTTACACATAGTAGTTACACTTTCTATCAGTAATACACACTGATCAGTTTGAGAGGTGTGAACAGTCTCACCATGAGGATCGAGTAGAATTGAAATAAACTCGCACTTGGGCCTCAGATTTAACAGTCAAAGAACACTTTTTATTACCAATTCACGTATGGACGTGACATTCAAAACATTAAGAACTTAGATTCTGATAGAAATATAAAAACATAAGTTTAATCATATAAAATCATTCTATTGGAATAAACTGTCAAATGCGAAGTATGAAAAGAAAATTATGGAAATACGGTTAGAAGTTATTTACTTATATCAAGTTGATAGATTTTTTTTGTAGCAAAGCAAATAGGATGCCTTGGGGAATATTTAGGAACGCTATGTCTACCTGAATTGACGACTGTTTCAGAATACTCTCCAAATATTTACTGCAATCTAGTGAGAAAATTGATTTAGTATAGATATTTATTATATTATAGTAAATCCTATGTGTATTTTGTCTTCAATTTATATCTTTCTTAACTGGAATGCTATATTCTAACAAGGTCTATTGCTGTCCGTAAATTTTCAATATTTATAGGTTTATAATTTTAATAAATCCAGTTTCACTTTTGTACCAGTTACCGCATTGACATAAAAATACTTTTCAAAATTCGTATAAAATGTACCTATGTACGGGGTTTCAAATAATTTATTTAATTTTCAAAATGCTCATTGTTCAAATAGTTTTTCCAGGTATATGATCGTTTTCAAGTACACTTGATACACAGATATATTAAATAAACCTGACCCTGTTCTCTTGCACGGCCTTTGCTTATTAAACAATACGAAAATAAATCAACGAATGAACTCATTACCGTCCGCATAATGTATTGTAAACAGAACATTTAAACTGTTATTAGGTACAGTTCTTTTTTTAAACATCTGTTCATATGCATAGACAACGTTATTACTATCAAGAAAAAGTTCTTGAACGCGTAAAATAAAAAATAAAAAACTGTTTTCCAGAAATAATTGACTTTAAAAAAGTATCAATGACGTCAATGTGCATCCATCATGATCAATGTAAACTGTAGGGGGAAGTCCCCTAGTGCCGGACACATAAGGTTTTCAGGAAATAAAATTAAAACTACATCGAGAAATATGTATTTATTTATGAATTACTTAAATTAACAAAACATAAAATCAATCTCAAATAACAAAAATACAAATTCTGCGTAAACATAGTTTAGGAATGTTAAATAAGTTTTGGTAAAAAAATAAAGGACTTTGACATTGGCACCTAGTGCCGGACGGGTTAATCTTCAAACCCCAAGCGCCGGACATTCTAAAACTTTTAGCATCTATCACATATGTAGGCATCTCCACATTCTGGAACGTCTGCACATGCTTCATGAGCCCATTATTGGCATCTGGAGCATTGTATCCAGTCCTCGTCGTGGTCTTCTAAACACACTACACAAGTCGTTTTTTCTATATTTGATACTTCAGTTAACGGCTCCTTTTTGTTGTCGTTATTGCCAAGTTTGGTTTGTTTACTCATGGGGAATCTTCATAGCTTCAGCCAAGTCGTAAGCTAACTTCAAAAACTCGTTTTTCATCAGGGGCAGACATCTATTAGACAAATCTCTTATGTGGTCCACTAAAACTTGCTCATACTCGGGTGAGAAGGTTTTTGTGAATCTACCAACTTTTGGTTGCAACGTGACTTCTTTTCCACTGCTCAATGTCGTTATTTTATCATGTAGAGTACTTTTTGGAACATTGTAACGTGACGAAGCTGCCCTCAAACTCATTTTTTTGGACAAAATCTTGTTCATCGCAGTTTTGCTGATCCCATTTTCCTTTTTTTTTCTCTCTTGCATTTTCAAATATCTCTCTCCTTCTATCCTGTAAAACAACAAACAATCATCATTACAATAAGTACAAATGCTTCATAAAAAAGCTAACCTATAAACTGTCCGGTGGTAAGGGACACCTTTGTGTCCGAAAGTAGGGGACAGGAAACGTCCAAAATTACGTATTTCATACTAAAACTGTTTAGGTATTTAATAAAATCTTTCACAATATAATAATTATAGTGAAACACTGTCTTTATTAACAAATAACAAAAACAATTAAGGATAAAACCATAGCAGTAATACTTACTTGAAATTTACGTGTCGCAACGCTTTCCCACCAAAAACAGCAATTCACGGCTTCCACCACGACTGTGCGTCTCGCTACGTTCGGCGCTGTCTCCACGAGCGAGAGAATCGCGACGATATTATCGTCGTGCCACGTATTTCTATATACTCTCTATGAACGCGTCTCCACACGGCGATGTTATCGCGGCGATGCGACGAGTGGCAATGTGCGCGCGTAACGTCGTCGTATCGCCGCGGTATCGTCGCTACTAGCGGCGCTCTCGCAGCGAGCGCGCGGCGAGCGCGCTGTCAAATGCAGCGTCATTTCAGGCGCTGTCTCCACGAGCGAGAGAATCGCGGCGATATTATCGTCGTGCCACGTATTTCTATATACTCTCAATGAACGCGTCTCCACACGGCGATGTTATCGCGGCGATGCGACGAGTGGCAATGTGCGCGCGTAACGTCGTCGTATCGCCGCGGTATCGTCGCTACTAGCGGCGCTCTCGCAGCGAGCGCGCGGCGAGCGCGCTGTCAAATGCACGACGTAGTGGCATAGGATGTGTCCACCAACGGCGCTTTTTTTCCTTTCTTAATAACAATAACTGCATATTCACTAGCGTACTTGCACAAGCACCCCATAACACTACATCCATAATAAAGAATTATTTTATTGACTGAGAGACTACTTATTTTGCTCTCGTCTGGCACCTAACTGAACCCTTTCAACGAATAAAAGCACAACGCAAAATCGGCGATTCCGTTACGAGTCGTCGCGGACGCGCTGCGATTCCGTCACGAGTCGTGACGATACGCTGGCGGAATAATCGCTCGTTCGTGGAGATTACCCGACGATAGAAGCGCGGACTCGTCGCGATTCTCTCGCTCGTGGAGACAGCGCCTCAGCGTTGCATCTCGCCAAGCAAGGACTTTACGTATCGACAAGCATACAGTATAAGTACAATGTTTAACATTGAAAAGTTTATATTTGAAGTGAGAGAGAGACCTGCCCTTTACGATGTTCAGTTGCCCGAGTATCGGAACAGAGAAATAAAGGCAAAGTGTTGGTATGATGTGGGAAGTGCTATGTTCACGGAATGGGATGACCTAACTTCTAAAGAAAAAAAAGAAAAAGGTAAGCGTTCAATACTATTTATTTAGGTAATTTTAATTAAGTTATAATTATAAGAAAGATAATTTTATTTAAACGATGTAGTCATTTTGCCAAGGAACCGCGCCCACTGTGTTAAAATAATATTTAAATAAGTTTCGAACATGCATCCCCGAATTCCTTGTCCTTTGAAGTACGGGTGTCAAATTTTGAAGATTGGATATGTCTTCATTGTTGCTA